GGCCAGCCCCCGCCCCAGCCCTGCGCGCGGGGACGGGGCGCTGCAGTCACTGTGCCTCACGACACCCACCGAGGAGGCCGTGTACTGCTTCTACGACTCAGATGAGGAGCCCTCCAAGGCGGTGGTGCCCCCGCGGCGGGCGTCAGCCATCCCCCGTGCAGTAAAGAGAGAGCATCAGGCTGGCAGGAAGGAGGTGCAGGCCGTGCCCAAGGCCACACCCAAGGCCACGCAAGCCGCCCGCGCCCAGCCCAGCCTCATCGCCGACGAGACGCCGCCGTGCTACTCCCTGAGCTCCTCCGCCAGCTCCCTCAGCGAGCCTGACCCCCCTGAGCCTCCGGCGCCCCTGGCCAGCCAGCCCCATGCTCCCCAGCCAGCGGCCAATAAGGTGCCAGGCACTGGGGGTGTGCGTAACGGCCCCCTGAGCCCGCGGGCGGAGACAGGCCTGCTCCGGCGCTGCGTTGGCTCCGCAGTGCCCAGGCGCCGGCTCCAGGCGTCAGGCCCACGGCGCCGCAAACCCCAGGCTGCCCAGCCAGACAGGCGGCCGGCAGAGGCGCCCCGGGAGCGTGGGGACGAGGCGGCGAGCTCAGACCATGCCTCAGACCTGGACAGTGTCGAGTGGCGTGCCATCCAGGAGGGCGCCAACTCCATTGTCACGTGGCTGCACCAGGCGGCGGCGGCAGCCACCCACGAGGCCTCGTCTGGGTCTGACTCGATCCTGTCAGGATCCGGGCTGTCCGGGAGCTCCACCCTGCAGCCCCCCCTGCACAGGAAGGGACAGCGGCTGCAGGCGGGGAGCCAGACAGTCAGCACCGCAAGACCAGAGAAACGGAACTCGGCCCTGGCCCAGCACAGCACCAGTGGCCCCGAGAAGCTGCGCGGTGCTCAGAAGACCGCATGCAGGGTGCCAGCCGTGCTCCGGGGACGGACCGTGATCTATGTGCCCAGCCCGGCCCCCCGGGCCCAGCCCAGAGGCAACGCTGGCACCCGTGTGGCACCAAGGAAGATGGGACCCCCGAGTCCTGCGCAGCCAGCAGCCCCTGCCAAAACCCCCAGCCCCGGGCAGCAGCGGTCTCGAAGCCTGCACCGGCCAGGCAAGATCTCAGAGCTGGCGGCGCTGAGGCCTCCCCAGAGGAGCGCCACACCACCCGCCCGCCTGGCCAAGGCCCCCTCATCCGGCTCCTCCCCGGCGTCTCCGGCCTCCCAGCCCCCTACGAGGAGGCCGCCCCCAGGCGCCCAGGCCGCAGGGCCCCTCCCCGGCCCCGGGGCATCTCTGGTGCCCCAAACACCCACACGGGCCCTGCTGTCCAAGCAGCACAAGACACAGAAGTCACCTGTGCGGATCCCCTTCATGCAGAGGCCAGCCAGGCGGGGGCCACCACCCCTGCCCAGGGCAGCCCCAGAGCCAGGCTCCCGGGGTCGGGCGGCAGCTGAAGGAAGCCCTGGCGCCCGAGGGGGCCGCCTGGGCCTGGTGCGCATGGCCTCTGCCCGCTCCAGCGGCAGCGAGTCCTCTGACCGCTCGGGTTTCCGGCGGCAGCTGACCTTTATCAAGGAGTCCCCGGGCCTGCTGCGCCGCCGCCGTTCGGAACTGTCCGCTCCCGAGGCTGCGCCCCCCGCCTCCCAGGGCGGCTCACCCCACCGCACTCGACCTGCGCTGCCCGCCGTCTTCCTCTGCTCCTCGCGCTGCGACGAGCTGCGGGCAGCCCCCCGGCAGGTTCCAGTCCCCCAGCGAGCCCCCGTGGCCAGGCCCAGTCCTAGTGAGCGGCTGGCCCGGCGCCCCAGCTCTGAGAGCCCGTCCCGCCTGCCTGTCCGCACCCCGGCCACCCGGCCCGAGACAGTCAAGCGCTACGCCTCCCTGCCGCACATCAGCGTGGCCCGCAGGCCCGACACAGCCGCCCCTGGGTCCACCACGGACGCTGCCCGCCGCAGCAGCGATGGGGAGGCCCGGCCACTGCCAAGGGTGGCGGCGCCGGGCACCACGTGGCGTCGCATCCGGGACGAGGACGTTCCACACATCCTGCGGAGCACGCTGCCTGCCACTGCCCTGCCACTGATGGGTGCCCCATCCGAGGAGGGCCCCAGCGGCCCCCCACAGCGCAAGACCAGCGATGCCGTGGTCCAGACGGAGGACTTTGCTGCCACTAAGACCAACTCCAGCACGTCTCCGAGCCTGGAAAGCAGGGGGCCCCCCCAGGCCCCAGTCAGCGGCCCCACTGGCAGCGATGTGGACGGGCCCGGTCCCACCAAGGCGCCCACCTCTGCTCCCTTTGTCCATGAGGGCCTGGGGGTGGCTGCAGGGGGCTTTCCTGCCAGCCGGCACGGCTCCCCAAGCCGCTCAGCCCGTGTCTCCCCCTTCAACTATGTGCCCAGCCCCATGGTGGCAGCCACCACTGACTTGGCTACAGAGAAAGCCCCCACTGCTGCCCCCACCAGCCTCCTGGAATAGTGGCCAGGGCCGGCCTTCTAGAACATCCTTTCCTGGCCAAGGGCTGGTCTGGCGGCCTGGAGGGTGGTCCCACGGTCCATCTACCCACCAGAGCCCGTGCCCTTGGAGCCCCACTGCAGCCTGAATTGGCCTCACATCTCACGCATAGACGCTTGCTTCCGTGCTCTGGGGGCTCTGGAGGGAACGGGGCTGCCGGCTGGACCTCCAGTCCCAGCCTGGAGTGCGCACAGCGAGGCCTTCTGGCCCCAGCCTGGCTCCCATGCAGAGACCACCCTCCCAGCCTGGGCCGCCCTCTGCAGCATGCTCCAGGGCCCCGAGCTCCGCTGGGCCCAAGCCTCAGCAAGCCCTTCCCATGTCAGGAGCCGCAGGGAGGTGACAGAGCCCACCCAAGGTGGGGGATAGGGCTGGGGAGGGTGGCCCCATTAAGCAAGCGTCTGCCAGCTGGGGGCCAGCCTACGCTGGGACGAAGCCTGTAATTTTGGAGGCCCGGTAATTGGTTAATGATGACTTTGCGGGTTTGTTTGCCTTCTCATCCCCAGCTGGGGAGTGTGGGGGCAGGGAGTGGCCGAGCCCGACTCAAAGCCCCCGCCCCAGACAGCGCCGCCTAGGGAGTTGGAGCAGCCTGGACGAACAGGGACCGGCCGGTGCACCAGCGGCAGGCGTAGACGGAGCCCTGGATGGGGGAAGGAGGGCCCTGGAACTGGGCGCGGTGCAGTGGGAAGGGGCATCGCAGGGCGACCCTCGGGGGGGGGGGTGTGTGTGGGTGCTGGGATGCCGCCAGGGTCTGCGAGCACACCCTGTGGGAGGAAGCGTGTGGAGGGACGTTCCTGAAGGCGGCTGCCCGGCTTTTCAATTCCCTTCTCCTTCGCCACACACACCGTGCTGGGCTCCCCGGGCTCCGCCAGGCGCACCATCTCCTCCTCGGGACAGCACTGTAGCGGCGGGCGCGGGGGATGCTGGCCACCGGGTGCTAGAGTGTTGTTGCCCTGGAGCTGGAGGCTGACAGACGAGGGACAGCAAGCCCGGAGGCCTCATTTCTTCCCCTCCCCCCACCAGGCTGCTCAGGGTCCGTGCGCGCATGTGTTCGGGGTCGGCTCCGAGGGCACCTCCTTGCAGAAAGAGCCAACGACCTCTTTACTGCGCACGGAGGCTCTGGGGAGAAGCTGCTCTCGGCAAGCGGATCTGCTGTGACAGCCGCCGTGCCACTCCCCGCCCGGAGCCGATGCTGTTAGAATAGACGGGACATGGCCACCCAAGTCCCTTCTCTGGAGGAGGTGCGCCGTGGCGAGGCCCACCTGCAGACACCACTGTCCCGCCCCATTACCCGAAGTGTTTCCTGTGGCTGACGGTCCTCACAGGAAACCCTCGTGAGCTGTGCTGATCCCAGACCCCACAGACACCCTGCTGCTGTCATGTTGCATCACCAACGCCCCGTCCTGTGCGACGGGAGCCGGGGCCCGGCCCAAGGGCAGGAGGCAGGGTGGCCGGCAGCGGAGGCAGTGACGGTGGCCGAGCCAGCTGCGAATGGCCACAGCCCGCCCCTGGGGACACACCAGAGTGTCTCAGACTCTTCTCAGAAACCGCCAGCCCTGGTCCCCCTGTAGCCTGGAGGGCCGGGACTGGGGCTCCTCCAAGCTCCTTTCTGGATTTGGGGACTGCCAGACATCGTGCTTGCATCTCCACAGGGCAGGTGCTCCCCGTGACGGCCTGGTGGGGGGAAAGCAGCTGCGGATCCGTCACCAGCTCGTCCAGCCACAGGGGCCCACGGCTTCGTGCACTGTGAGACCCTGGGCAGTGCTTCCGCCGCTCTGTGCCTCAGTTTCCCCACGTGGGCCGTGGGGGGAACTCCCAGAGCTACCTCTTGGGCGAGTGGAGAGACCACCAGGCCCGGGGGAGAGACCTGTGCTTCGGGACCCTCCCTCGTTGCTGCCCCCGCCCATCTGGCCACGGGCATATCCTCTCCACAGGCAGGGCAGGAGGGCAGCTCCACCTTGGTGGCACCCAGGGGGCCCATGTCCCGTCCACGCCCGGCAGCCACTTTTGCCTTTCCCAGCCCCCTGTGTGGGGGCACAGCCACACCTCATCATCCAGCCTGCGCGGGCAGCGGGCGGCGGCAGGTGGCGGTCACCGACAATCAACCTGAGTCGGGAGCTGGACGCCTAAGGTCTCAGGACCCGAAGGACCAACCGAGCCACCCACCAAGGGAACCGTGAAGGGCTCATCTGCCTCTGGAGCACTCCTGGGGCAAGCCCGACAGGAACGCCTGGGAGCCCAGGCCTGGGACTTTGGACCCCGAGCCGGATGGACACCACCACTAGCTGGGTGCTGAATTTGGGGCTACCTGCTGGAGTGGCATTACCTCACCCCTGCTGCCCCCCACCCCTGTCACCTGGCTGGCGGCCACATGCCCCCCCAGCCCGAGCCTGGCCGTCTGCGTCCATCCCCCTGCGTCTCTGCTCGTCTCTGCAGCACTACAGGACATGTGTAAATACAGCCCCACCTGCCCCCACTAACCACAGAGCCATCGTCTGGCCAAAGGAACCCGCGGAGCCAGGCGTCTTACGCGCACCTTTAATAAACCCAGCTGTCGAACCGCGCCCTGCTGTCTGTGGCTCTATTTCCAAGGGGCGCGGGTGGGGTGGGGCTGGGAGGGGCCTGGCCTCCGCCAGGAGGCAACACGCTAGGACACCTTTCAGAAATCCTCCTCGGGCAGATCCCTGGAGGCACAGCTGGAATGTGGCCTGGCCCCGGGACGGCAGCACAGCGAGGTCAGTGCGGGCGCCCCTGCCTGACCCCTGGTGGCGGGGGTGGGGGGCTCCGGAGAGCAGACAGCACTTCAGAGCCAGGCAGTGCCCGGAGACCAGGGCCAAGCAGGGAGGGGCGAGGCCCCTCGCACCGGGCGGGCTGTTAGCAGCTGTGGAAGGGTGCTGATGCGCGAGCGGGCCCAGCCTGGGCAGGACGGTCTTGGCGTCCACTGCCATCATGGGAGCCAAGCCTGAGCTTTCTGTACACTTGTGCCCCCAGGCCTCCTTTCTGGTTCCTGGTTTTGGGGGTCTCTCAGGATTAAGCAGACTCCCCTTCTTCAGGGAAAGAAAAACACCTCTGGGATGCCCCACCGTGCTGCCCCGGAGCTTCCAGGGACCCCAGGAGAGGGCAGTTCACAGAGGCACTGTGCAGGGGCCAGGTACAGAGCAGATTGCACCTGAGGGGCTCAGTGGGGGCGCCCCCAAGCAGCCTGGCTTCTGTGATGCCTCTTGCAGCCACTGTTGCCCTGGTCTTCCGAAAGTCTGTCTTTTAGGGTGAAAAGCCCTTTTCAAGATCTGCTTCTATTCCGTGGTCCCCACACCCACCCACAGGCGAAGCTTGCCAGGATGGAGGCAGCCAGCAAGGGCTCGCGTGGGAGACAGGCCAGCTTGTCCTCGTGGAGCCCGGCCAGGAGCCCCGTGTGATGCAGTCCCACAGCTCCCAGGCCGGCCCCGCACCCCGACCGTGAACCTGCCCTGCGGGAGCGTCCACACCTTAGGTCAGGGTGCTCAGGGTCCTCAGGGGCGGCACCCACCAGAGGCCCCATCTCACATCTGGGCCCTGCCAGGCAACGGCTCCTCTCATAGCCACAGCCACTGTGGCGGAGGGAACAGAACCCCCGGCCTCCTCAGGAATCGCGGGGGCCCTGCAGTTCAGGCAGAGATGGACAGAGGCAGCAGAGTGGGTCCCACCAGCTCCGTCTATTGGGGACGATGCGGGGAAGCAGAGTCCGCAGAGGGAAGGAGAGGAGGGTGGACGGTCTGGCCCTCGGGTGCTGGGGACCCCACGTGAAGTCCTGTCTGGGCTCCACGGCCCCGGGGTGAGCAGCATCCACACCAGGTCCCAGGCCTGACCCCCAGAGAGGAGCTTGTGCCCGGCTGTGTCCCCAGGGCTCTCTGGGTACCAGGGCACACACAGACCATGGGACCCGGGGGGCTTAAGCTGTGCCAGGTCAGGTGTCACGGGGAGCCGGGGGTGCCCTGCCCAGGGCAGGCAAGCAGGCAGGCTGCTCAGCCCAAGGAGGCGGCCATGGCTCCTGGCAGCGCCACTTGCTTCACCTGGCTGACGTCTCGTTCCAGCTCCTCACCCGCTCGCCACAGCTCCTCACACTTCTGCTTCAGCCTATCGCCCGCCTGCTGCAGCCGCTGGTTCATGGCAACGTAGGCTCGGCTCTGCTGGTAGAGCTGTTCCCGCTGGGCCTCCGTGTCCTCTGCCCCCCCAGAGAGGCCTAGGGAGTCTGGGGGTGGGACACGGCGCACGGGTCAGGGAGGGGCGGGGGGACGACACAGCTTATCCCCTCAGCGAAGCACGCCACTGGAGGGGACGGATCACTGAAAAAGCCTGGACCTGTGTCCTGAGGCCCTGCCTGGGTATCCGGCCTCCACTCCTGCAGAGGGCGGCGACCCCATGATGGAATCACAGAGCAGGCTGGCTCCCACCCGGCTCTGAGAGCCAGATGCTGCGTCGTGCCTCCCAAACCTCCTCCCTGGCCGCGCAACCTTGTGAAATCTAACAGGGAGGTGGCCCCGTTCCCCGTGCCCCTGCTTCCTAGAACAGCACAGGCCCAAGGAGGGCAGCGCAGGACAGCAAGGGCTGCAGGCCGCCCAGAGGCATGTCGAGATGCTCTCCACCCTGCCTGGTTCCCCGGTCTTTGATTTCAAGTCACTTTATCACCTGTGTCGGTACTAAGGAGGGACACAGGCCACACAACACACACGGTCGCAGGCAAGCTCCCCCGCTGCGGGCCCTTGCACAGCCCGGGCCTCAGTGTCCCCTCCCTGGGAACGCTGGTGGACACGCTCCATGGGGCTGCCCCGTGCAACAGAACATTCCAGTCGGATACAGAGCCAGCCACCGGCCATGAGGGGCTCTTGCGCACACGAAATACAGCCACATGGAGCAAAGCACCAAGTTTTTCCTATTACTTTGTTTTTTTAAAATTCCCAAAGCATTTCTTAGCATCTCCGGTTTCCCAGACTAATGGTGAATGTCTCTTCCAGCAGCGTAACCCGAGGGCGTGCGCTGTACTGTTGGCCCCAGTGCTCAGAACAGCAGCCCCGGCCATCAGAACACAGTCTCTGTGAATGTTCGATGAATGAATACACGAACCCCATCAAGCAGAACACAAAATTCACCCGACAGCTGTACGCCCAATGCTTCTGTCTTCAGAACCAGGGGTGGACGAGGTTTCCCACAAAAGACCGGGCATAAATATTTCGGCTTTGCACGGCTGGCCGTCCCAACGTGCCCTCTGCCACACGCCTCCAGGGCGGCTGCTGGGCGTGCACGCCATAGGCGTGGCTCGGTGCCCACTCGACCTCGTGGCCCTGAGACCCCAACTTCCTGCCATCCCCCTTTGCCACCGCGCGTTCTCACCCCCGCAGGTGAAAATGAAAAACCCATTCTTTCTTCTTTGATCTCCACACCCAGCGCGGGGCTCGACCCCAAATCGAGTCGCAGGCTCCCCCGATTGAGCCGGCGGGGCCGGGAAATTGCTCTCTTGGCTGCCAGGCCGTGCGAGAAGAGGCGGCGAGCGGGATTTGGCCGGGGTCGGGCCCGATCCGTGCGCCCCCCTTCCCCGGCGTGCAGAGCGAGCTCAGAAGCGGCACGGACGGCGCTCGGAGCCCCACGGCTTCACGGGCCCTGCTGCCCGGGCTGGAGCTGGGGTGTGCTCCCCCCGCCCCCTGCTGCCGGGGTCTCAGGTCGTCCCTCCCCTGCTCTTACCTTCCAGGGCCAGCGCGGCGAAAACGGGGTCGTCGGAGGGCGCACCCCGCACGTCCTCCAGGATCTGCTCCACCGTGGGGGGCGCCGGGCGCGTGGGCAGCACCACTCGCTTCTTGGCCTTGGAACCCATCCCTGGAGGCGAGAGAAATGGGCGTTGACCGGGGCGTCCACCTCTCGGCCTTTTCCTGGGCCCTTCCTCCCGCCCAGCAAACTCCTACACACCCGCCGGAGCCCCGTTCCCGGGGAAGCCCGCCCCGCTCTGTCCCACCCCTTCGGGTTCGCTTCGCCTCCGGCCCTCCCGACGACCGACAACATGGGGCCAGGGGTTTCAGCGCCCGGCTCCATCTTTGCCTCAGTTTCCCTGTGAAAGCCTCGAGCGCACCCACCGCCTTACCCTGGCGCGCGTATAGACCCGCCAGCGCCGCTGAAAACCAGCTTCCGCTTCCGGTCGCAGCGCGGCCCCGCCCCCAGGCGCTCGGGGCACACTTCCTGCCTCCTCCCGCTCCAGTGTGCCCCTCGTCGGGAGGCCACGCCCCCTTTTAAAGGGGCCGCGCCCGCGAGGGTTCCAGTGCCGTCAGACCGGACCGAGAAGTACGCGACCTCAGCCTCCCCGGTTCGCGGGTCCTGGAGGAGCATGGGGTGGGCGTGGGGTCCTGTCTCGGCCCCCCTCGCTGCGTCACAAAACACAGAGTACTGGTTTTCTGCCTAAAGGGGACAGGGCGCACAACCCACGTGGCTGTCGTGGGAACACAGTTACTGCCCGTGCAAGGGGGGTGGCTGTGCCAGTTACCGGGCAGCTGGCCAGGGACGCTGGACGCAGGTCGGCGTCGCCCCTCCGGTCCCTAACACCTCCCGCCTGGGCTCCTTCCCTGACGGCTAAGGTGGGAAGACAGGCTGAGCAGAGGGCAGGTCTGTGCCTTTCAACAGCTTAACTGAATGTAAGCTACACACCGTACAGTCCACCTGTGTAAAGTGTGCTGTTCGGTGGTTTTGAGAAAGATGTACAACCGTCGCCGTAGTCTGGTTCCAGAACATTCCATCCCCCCAAAAGGAAGCCATGTCTCCATCTGCCGTCACTCTCCGTCCCTCTCCCCCGGGGCCCCCACGAGCCCCCTTCCTGTCCGCGGATGAGCCTGTTCTGGACGTGTCACCCACGTGGACTCACACCTCGTGTGGCCTTCCGTGTCTGGTTCCCTCCCTGAGCGTCGTGGGCTCGGGGTCCGTCCCCGGGGCCACGCGTGTGGATGGAAAAGCGTTTGAGAATAATGCTTCTGTGAGTTCTCAGTGTTAAAGAGAAACTTGCCCAGCAGGATGGAGGGGAACTTAGGGAGTTACGAATGCAACCCTCCACCTGGCTCAGGCCCCCTCGACAACTGGGGTCTCTGGAACCTGGGCTGACCCCCTTTCCTCTGTGGGCCGCTGGGTCCTGCGGTCCTGATGTCTGGGAGAAGACAGATTCCACGCCTGCACAAGGGAAACCCCAAGCATGACATGGGGATGGGGGCCTGCCCCTTCCCCAAAGGAGACCGCAGACTTGGCACCTCCTATTCAACCTTTATTTGCAAACTCTGAGGTCGGACGTGGTGCCTGAGACTCTGGATGGTGTCTTTGCTCCCCTTGCCCCTCCCCCCCACTTCTGGGGCTGGGAAGGGATAGTTGTCACAGCCTGACCTCTGCCCCACCCCACCCCACCCCCACCCCAAACTGTGTAACTAGACTTTTCTCTCTCTCTCTTTCCCCTGGACCTGCCAATTTCAGGTCCACGGTTCCATGTAGGCCGCCCCTGGCCTGAGGGCCTCAGTGATCAGCCAGAGCCTTCTCAGGGCAGGTTCTCGCAGCCCCAGCCCGGGTACCAGTCTGAAGCAAAGGAGCAGCACAGCGGTGCCTGGCCCCTCGTCAGATGTCTCTAGGTTCCTGCCAGCAGCCGGACCTGGGGTGGTGATGGGGGAGGCCCCCGCATGGTGGCAGGCAGCCTACAGAGAGGACGCTGCAGAGGAAGGGGCTCCCAAAGGCCATGGCCAGCAAGGCCAGGACTGCAGCCTGGGCTCGGCCATGGTGGCAGCTGGGGTGGGCCACTGCGGTGGGCCAGGGGGTGCTGTTGGGAGGGGCAGGTCCCGAGCAGGAGCCCCGATGCTCGTCCAGCATGTAGGCAGGGGGGCAGGTCGTGCAGTTGAGCGGGGAACCGCCGCGGCAGGTGTAGCAGGAGGGGTGGCAGCTCGAGCAGACGCGCAGGGCGGGTGTGGCCGAGCGCCCCGGCCCAGCGGTCACTGCCTGCCGGGTATGGCTGAAGTACCTCGGGGGACAGTAGGAGAGGCAGAGGTGGCCCAGGATGTAGGCGGGGCTGTGGCATTCTGCGCAGGGGACACACACATGGGGGGGTGAGGCTGAGGCCCATCACCCTGCCTGCCCTCCCGACCCGGGCTGCACACGCACACTGCCCGCGGCCGCCACCTCCCAGCAGGCAGGCTGGGCCACGCCAGGCACTCACCCTGGCACAGCCCCTCTGTGTCCCGCTGCACACACGCGCTGCTGGTCACCTGGGGGCCAGGGGGCCGCGCCGTCATGTCCTCGGCCGTCCCATACAGCAGCAGCGTGTAGCGGTACAGAGTCCCTGGGCAGGGGTTGCGGTGGGCACGGGGAGGAGGGGCAGAGGCTGTTGGCAGCCTGGTCCCGCCCTTCTGGGCCCCTCTCCCCAGCCACCCGACCCCAAGCTGGAGTCCCAGACCCAGACAGCACCCAGGCTGAGCACCCACTGTGCACCGAACGCCGATGGGAACATATGATGTGCCAGACACACCGGCTCGGCCTCTCGGGGAGACCACTGGGAGCCCCTTGGCAGTGGGGTACCTGGGTGGCTCCAGAGCCCGAGGCCCCAGCCTGCATGCAACTCTCACCTGTGTTGAAATAGTAGCCCTTGTTTTCCAGGCCCAGAGTCCACAAGCCCTGCGGGTCCTCGTCCCAGAAGTGGGTGGACATGAAGATCCAGTTGTTGTAGCCTTGGCCGCTGACATCCAAGGGTCTGGGACAGAAGGCGGGGGCGGGGGGGTGGAGCGGGCCACATGTTGGCTGCCGGGAGGGCTCCCACGGGGTGGGGGGAAGGGCTCGGGCGGGGGGGGCAGGTGTCTGGCCGGAGCAGACCCACCCAGACCCTCCCTGACCCCACAGTGTGCATTTGCCCCAGGCCAGGTCCTCTGCCCCGGTACCTGATGGCCACGAGCGTGGAGCGGGTGCCCATGGGGCTGGTGAGCGAGATCTCCAGGTCCCCCCGGCGGCTGTAGGACAGTGACAGTTGCACCTGCACGTGCTCCAGTGAGCGGATGTAGTTGGCATGGCCAGCGCAGGCCGACACATTCTTCCTCACTTGCATCAGCGGCAGGATGGGGCTAGGGGTGGCGTGGGGGGTGAGGGCCCCTCCTGCGGGCCTGCTGGGGGGATGGGCAGCCAGCAGGTGGGGTCTGGGCTCAGATCGTGGGGCTTACCCTCTCCTTTGATAGATGAGTAAGCAGAGGCCTCGGGACCAGCCTCCCACGTGTTTGCCAACCTCCCCCCCACGGTAATGACAGGTGTAGGGAGATGACAGGCGAGCACAGTGGGGGGAGGGCGGCTGAGGAGGGCGCTCACGTGGGGGTGTGTATGATCCGGATGGCGCATTTCTGCTGGGGCTGTGTGGGCAGCCATGTTCGAGCCATGTCCACCAGCAGCCTGGCATCCAGCAGCCCGTAGCCATAGTGGTGGCTCACTGTGTGGAGGGGTGGTCATCACTCGCCCCACGGGCGTGGCATCCCCACCTCCAGCTGGCCCTGCCTCACCTTGGCGCCCCACACCATTGGTCCTCCAGTCCTCAGCCTGGAGCTGTGCTGGCCTGGACGCCCGGACCACCAGGTGCTGCATGTCCCTCCACGTCAAGAACGGGCTGGGGGCAGGTGAGGGCAGGTGAGCTGGGGCCACGCTGGGGGGTGAGCGCGGTAAGCGGGCTCCCCTCCGTCACCTACTTGGCCTCCAGGGCCAGGGCGATCATGCCCGCAGCCAGCGGGGCCGAGGCCGAGGTGCCCGTGTGTTTGTCCGTGCACTGGTGGTGCAGGTCTGTGGTGACCTAGGGGCAGACAGGGGCACTTGGGGGGCCTGTACCCATGAAAACCCAGACTTGGTTCAAGAAAGTGCCGCAGAGATCCCACCAGAAAAGGGCCCTGGGGAACCCGCCCTGCTTGGAAGACAGGAGGATGTGTGAAGGGGTGTCACCGGGCAGCCCTGGGAGGAGGGCAAGTGGGGAGCAGGAGGGAAGGTGGGGGGAGGGGACAGTAGAAGGGGGGAGGAGGGAGTGAATTAGGAGGAGGGAATGGGAGAGAAGGGGGCAGAAGGGAAAGTGAGGGATAAACAGGTGGGAAGGAACAGAGTACAGTTGGGGAGGGGGCAGGTGAGAGGGGCAGGGGACAGGAGTGGAGGGGTGGGGGCGGGTGGGAAGGGGGCAGGGGACAGGCAGGAAGGGGGCAGAGGACAGGAGGGAAGGGGCAGGGGACGGTGGGGGGGGGGGGGGGGGGGACGGTCGGGGGGCGGGGACGGCCGGGGGGGGCGGGGACAGGCCGCAAGGAGGAGCCTGTCTGGCGGACTTGGGGTGCGGACACTCACGATCTGCGGGTCCGCGGCCACGCCGCTGCTGTAGGTGGTGGTGAGCGTGGAGGCGCAGGCCTCGCTGTACCAGGGCACGCGGCCCTGCCGGGTGGTGCTGCCCACCGAGAGCGTGTGGATGCTGTTGGTGTAGCCGTCACAGTTGCAGTTGTCATAGTGCAGGCCGCCGTTGCCCGACGCCCAGACGAAGAGCGTGCCCAGCCCACCGCGGCCCTGCACACAGGGACGGGGGACCGGGATGGGGGCGTCGGCCTTGGGAGCAGGCCCAGGCCCGCCGAGGCCCCGGGGTGCGCTCACCTTGGTCACGCCGCGCCTGAAGGCCTCCCGGGTGAGGATGCCGGGGCCGTCCACCGTGCGGCCGTCGTCCTCGGGGCCCCAGCTGGCGCTGTAGATGTGGATGTGCTGCGGCTGCAGGCTCAGCGACTGGGCCTCAATGACGTCCGTGATGGTGCCATCCAGCATGCGCACGCCTGCACGGGACGCGGCGGGAGGGGCGGGAGGGGACGTCGGGCCTCTGTGCATGGCCCCGCCGCACCCCACCCCTGCGGGTTTGTCCAGCTCCCCGGGAGGGATGGAGCATCCGTGCGGGGCCCCGCCCCCCCCCCCAAGGTGCCGTCCTGGGGCTGCCCGCGAGCTCTCGATCCGGCACCCCGGGCCGCCCAGCGTCCCGGGGCCCGAGGAGCCGGAGCCCGCGTACCTCCAATGCGCGCATTGTAGGCCACGCCTGTGCCGCAGAACCCGTTGTTTGCCATTGCTGCCACTTCCCCAGCACAGCGGGTCCCGTGCCTGGTGCCAAGGGGGGAGGGGAGCCCGTTACAGCCCCCCACCCACCGGCTCCCCGCAAGGCACGGGGGGGGGCGGCCCTCACACCCTGGAGGACGCCAGGCTCACCGGTTGTCATCACTGGGTGTGTATCGCGGCTGGGGGTCTGGGTCATAGTCATTGAAGTCGTAGCTGGCCAGGGGGTCCTGGGGGTGGAGCGGGGACATGAGGGCTGGGGGGCCGGCTGTGGGACCTGGGGCAGCCCCCACCCAGCACTCCAGTCCCCGTGGTCTCACGTAGTTGGCCCAGAGGTCCGGGTGGTCCTTCTCGATGCCATCGTCCAGGACAGAGACCACAATGCCCTGGCCCGACAGGCCCTGGCTCCAGACCTGCAGGATGTTCAGGTCCGGCTGCACCTTGTTGTTCTGTGCAAGGCAGGCGCTGGGGTCAGTGGGGCTCTGGCCCCACCCGCCCCCACCACCCAGCCCGGCTTGCTCACCATGTACCACTGTTTGGAGAACCAGGGGTCTGTGGGTACCACTGCCGAGCGCTTCACCCGCCGCTGGAGCGTCTGCTGCTCAAACCACTGCACCTAGAGGCGGATGCACACTGCAGGAGGGGGCTGGACCCCAAGAACCAGCCCACCCTCCACCCAACGGTCCTGCCCCCACACCCATGCCCCTTAGAGGGCCCTGCCCCTCCCAGTCTCTCCCACCGATTCCCAGTCAAAGGGCCCCAGGGCTGCTTCCACGGTCGACAGGCCTCTTCCTCAGGTCCACCAAGGGGAGATTGTGGGGCCACGGCTGGGTGGGATGTGTCTGGGTAGTCCACTGCCTGTCCTGGGTCCCTCATGGTGTGGAACAGGGCCCGGGACCTTGTGTTTGCTGAGGCTGCTCTTTGGGGTCCCCATGTGCCTGAGGCTCTGCCTTCAGAGGGGACCGAGGCCCTCAGATCACCAGTCACCTGGGCCCACTGACATGTGGCAACTGCTCTTGAAGTCCAACCCTGCCCCTTCCCTAGTCCCTGTTCTAGATCCTTCTGCCCAAGACCTGCCCATCTCCCCCCTGTAGTGGCCATTTCTCTCTACCACTCCTCCCCACCCCTCAAAAGACATCCCAGGATGGCCATACCTGCCTCCTCCCGGGTTCCCCCTCAGCCCCCGTGCCTCTCTACAACACTGCAGCATCACTCCCTGCTGAGACCCTCCTGTGCTGCCCCCCTTTCCAGGGCCCACAAAGCTTTGCTTAATCTGGCCCTCACCAGCTTCCCTCTGCTACAATAGCCACAGTGGCTCCCTCACCCCAGGGCCTTTGCACATGCTGTTCTGCCTGCCCCAGGCTGTTCTTCCTCAGACCTCTGCCCTTCCTTTTTTCCTTGTTGATCTCCCACCCCCCAAACCAGTTCATGTGCCCTCCCCCCCATCTGTGATGGGGCAATTGTCTCCCCATTTGCACAGCTTCAGACGTGGGAGCTGGCCCTGATTTCTCTCTGTCCCACAAATCCAATCCATTGGCAAACCCTGGCCTCTCTCCTGTAGACCCCATCTGGAACCAGCAACTCCTGCATCCAATGCTCCTTGTGGGTTTCAGGTTACCAAGCCTCTTACCTCCATGCCAATCAGCCCCCGGGGCCCAGCCCATACCCCATCATGACTCCTGAGGGCTTGCAGATTCAGCCTCAACTCCCCAGCTTGGCATCTAAAGCCTTTTCCCCCAGTCTGGCACCTCTCTGAGCATCTCACAGTCTCGCTGGGTGACTTTAGGCAAGGTTCCTACTCTGGACCTGTTGCTTCTGTCCTTAAAAGGGCCAATTCCCTTCCCTCCATTCCAGGAAATAGAACGGTACCTGCCGTCTTTATGGAGTACAGAGGAACCTTGATCTTTCAGGGTGAGCTAGAGGAGGGGAGTGGGGGGGAGCGGGGAGACAAGAAATGCTGACAGTGGGCCAGGCCCTGAGGTGAGCACGGCACCCATTCGTGACCCATTGCTCTCCACAGATGGTCCCCACTGTACAGAAGCGGGGCGGGGGGGGGGAACCAAGTGGAAACCCAGACTAAGAGAGAGCAGGTGCCTTGAATAACAGGAGGTGGCCAAGACCACCAGGCCAGGCTCACCTTGGGGTCTTTCTTTAGGCGCAGGCGATGGCCCCAGTGTGGGGTCAGGGACTGCTGGACCACGCCCCGGTGCCGCAGGTGGTAGTACTGCCCGTCAGGAAAGATCTGGGAAAGTGGGGAAGCATCTGCAACCATGGCACCTGGCTCCGAGATGGAATCCCCCAGGACAGTGGCCCACACCTCTTGCTTGCATCCTCCACCCAACCAGGTGCCCTCTAGAGGTCCCAGAATCTGAAGCTGGTCGAGGCAAGGGTGGGCTGGGGGTTTTTGGTATCTTGGGTACCCTTCCCGTCTCCGGGGTCTGGGGTCGTCCAGCCCCCGCCCCTCCTGTCCATTTGGGTCCTACCCACCTGCCCCAGGTTGACGAAGCCGAATTTGCGCGCCAGGCGCTCGGCCTCCCGGTAACCCTGGGACACCCGCACGGCCCAGCTGCTGACATAGATGGGGGCCCGGGCCGAGGACCACCCCACAGGCAGGGGGCCAACGAGGGCCAGGCCCAGGGCTACGACTAGGCGCAGCCAGAGCGCAGTCTGGGCGGGCCGCATGGCGGCGGGGGCGGGGCCGGGCCGGGGCCTCCGAAAGCCCCTCCCCCTGGCCAAACCGCCGAGTCCCAGGCGCCCGCCCCGCCCCCGAGGCCATAGCAACCCCTGGAAGGCTTCAACTCCCAGAGGGCCTTGCGGCTCCCCCTTGAGGAGAGCGAAGATCCGGCCGAGGTCGGGGCGGGGGGGACAAAGGCCTGCCCCGGTCTTCCGCAGATCCAAACCCTCTGGAGCCTCAGTCTCCCCCATTTGTACAGTGACCAAATCTTCCGACCAAGAGGAGCGGATTCTCGGCTGCTAGCCTTGGCCCCGCCCCTTTGTTTGGCCCCGCCCGCTTTCCTGCACACCCCTCCTCCTTGAATCAGCCCTGCCTCCTGCGTAGTCCAACCGGACTTGTTCTTCCGAGTAAGTCCCGCCTCCTGGATTCAGCTCCGTCCCATCCCCCTGCCCTGAGATTCTGTCCCTCCTCCTTTATGATCAGCCCCGCCCCTCCCCTGTTCTCGCCAATTATCTCTGGACTTTCTTCGGGTCTTCCCACAAGCTCCGCCCCCACAACAGCTCAGCCAATAATCCCCGGCCATGACCCCGCCCCTCCAATCCGCTACGTCCCCCCCCCCCGCTCCGCCAATCGGCACCCTTGGCCTCCGCGCCGCGCCCCCTCCCCCCGGAGTCGCGGCTGAGGCGGCCGCGGCCCGCCAGAGGGCAATGAGGCAGGGGAGACGGGGCAGGCCCCACCTCCTTTGTCCGCCCTGCCCTCCCATTGGCCGGAGTGGGGGGCAGGGGGCGGAGACCAGCCCGGGGGCGGAGACCAGCCCGGGGGCGGAGA